ATTTGGACTGACTTGGTAGCAACAAGTCCTGCCGTTTTCCCCTGCTTCTTAGCGTTGTCATAGATCTTCCTGGCATCAGTTCTCTTCTTCACCTGAGCCACATACACCTTACCATTTGAGGTGCTGGATATAAATAAAGACAAATCAAAGCAGAAAACATTAATATTTTGATAATCATACAGACAGTCTAGTTCATACATCTGTGATATGCTGGTGGCAAAACCACTTCTCACTGGTTTATAAACATCCTATCCATCATAAAAGGTAATAAAAAAGGGTAGCACTTGAGTATAGGGACCAATTCTCACTAATAACTAGTTGCTTATTAGCATGCCTATTATTAACATATTGGCTGTTTATTAGCACTTATAAAGCACATATTCTGCATGACCGTTTTCTACATCCCTAATCCTACTCAATACCTAAACTTAAAAACTACCTACTAGCTATTAATAAGCAGCAAATTAGGAAAACAAATCCCGCACACTACCAAACTTCAAAAACATTTACGATTTCGGTCGCATGACCTTCATCAGGTATCTTCAAAATCTGTTCACTTTTTTGTTTGTGCACTTTAGTTTTTGTTGTCACCTTTATGTAAATCTTCAGAAATAAATTTTTGTTCAAAGGACCTTGAACTGTGCATTTCATTTGGTCTGTGGATTTTTTGCCACTGCGTTTTGTATTTCTTAATTTAAACTCACAAAAACAAGTGGAAATGGATTGCGGCGAAAAGAAAATGTAATTTCCCTCACAAACCATAATTACTGTGAAACTATCACAATCACATAGCAGTTCCAAAATCCCCTTAACGCTCAGTTCAGGAGCATTTCCCCTGCATAAACGTTAAGGAGTTCACCCACACGAAGCTATCCATACTCTCTTTATGTCTTTACATGAGGGTCAAGCTGAGAAAATGCTAAAGTAAGGTCAGCCCCTATAAGCAAATATATTTAAATAAAAGTCAACAAGAACCAACCAAAATAAACCAACAGCCTTGAAAAAGAGCTTGTTTGAATAAGATCAGGGTGAATGGACAGTTTAAAGCACAGTGGAAAATGAGGCGCCTGTATGTATGTGTGGCACTGAGAGGTCTGGGATGGCTGTGCATGTGACACTGTGAACACAGAGCTCTCAGTCATGGTTTAACAAACGCTACTGCACGAAAGAAACACATTTGCCGCAGCTATTTGAAAAAATACAGAGCCTGATGGAAGTGTCTGTCTGTATTTGTGTGATTCTTTGAGGGTGTGTATACATCTGTAATGTACATTGAAACTTGAAGCCCTGCTTTGTTGATGGATACATGTGTGCATTTTTCTCGCATGTGTGTGTATTTATATGCACGTAAATGTGTGAGCGTGTGTACCTTGGCCGTGTGCCTTGGTAAACTCTGCTGGGTAAAAGGGAGAGTGAACAGAGCCAGTTCTCATCATTTTCTCTATTAGCTTTCTGAGTTTTCTTGACAAAGCCTGCTATTCATCTGGCCTGAACGTTCTTTACTTTTGACCCACGTCCGCTTCCAAATCCAGCCCCTGTGTGCTTTATCAAGCTCTTATGGAGCCTTATTTGTGGGAAATTATTTATATTTAGCATTTCTGGAAAAGAGGTTTACAGAACTTTTACTCTGGTTAACAAATATGATTGCTAGGTCTTTTTTGTTTTTTGCTCCATTCCAGTGTCCTTTTCTATGTTTCTTAATTTGTACAAACATTTTTTTACAACTGATAGAATAAAGTGAAAGTGACAAGGACAGTTCACCCAAAAATGACAATTCTTCATTATTTATTCACTCTCAAGTGGCTCGGTATGACTTTCTTTCTTCTGTATAACACAAAAGTAGAAATTCTAAATAATGTGTTGGTCGCTGTATTCCATGCAATTACAATCAGTGGGGACTGAAGCTTTCAAGCTTCAAAAAGGATGCAAAAGCACCTTAAAATATGATAAAAAAATATGGTCTATATGACTATTCACAAGCCATACAAAAGCTCTGAGTGACAATCAGACCATATTTACATCGCCATTCACTTGATATCTTCCCCTTCTTTGAGATCTTAACTCAAGAACCGCTGAATCTGGATCAGTGAGATGAACAGATCAGTCCAATTTTTGAATTAATCATTCAAGGTTTATGACCCAGATCAACTGATTCATTGACTTAAACTAACTCACAAGAATGAATTGTTCACACATTGGACATTGCTACTTTTCTCATGAATGTGCCAAGGAGGCCAGACACTGAGATTTTTGTCTCAAATATAAGCGTGTTTGTCACACAAAAAGATCATATGGTTCCAGAAGATTTAGAAAATAGTGTCACTTATGATGCTTTTGTGTTATTTTTACAGCTTGAAAGTTCCCATTCATGTAACTACCTTGAATAGTACGACTGGGGTTATTAAAAATGTCTCTCACGTTTAACAGAAGAACAGAGAATGAAGTCATTTTTGAAACAGCATGTGGGTAAGTAAACGATAACAGAACTTTAACATTTAAGTGAAGTAATCCTTTAATTATTTCTGTAAATTAGATCGGAGCATTAAAAAATCCCTTTTGATCACAAAGCACTTCTTTCCACGTGAACAAATCATTAGTACAATTATAAACCTGCTGTGTCTATTCAGGGAAAACTTCAAACTTAAGCCAAGCGATGCTCAATTTAATTGCAATTTCACTGTTTTTAAACTGATTTGACAGCCAGAATAACAAAGACCGTGGTGTAATTTTTGACTCACATGGTAAAGTTGGAAATAAATGCAGATGAAGATAAATCCACCTCAAAGGCCGCCTCTTTAGTAATGTGGAGTTGGTTCCATATGGTGCTTTCTACTGTGGTTACAGCATAGCGAGACACTACAGAACTTCGCACATGGTAATCCGTCACCTTGAGCTAAGGGCACAACAAACACCAGAATAATACATTGATATGCCAAGCCACATTATTTATTTTTTAAATCTTTAATTTTTCTTAAAATCTCAGATATAAAAAGTTGTGCACATGAACATGAATATTTGCAGGTTTGCTAGGGAATTTGCTGAAAAACCATCCATTTAAAACATGACAGGACTTTATTGAACAATTTGTATGATTAGAATGTTAATTTTGATTTCTCAGGACTTTTGAACTGATGTCACATCTCAATCTGTTTACATGAATCTGATTCAGACCACATTGGTCTGGCTACAGAAAAGCCAGTCTATCTGAGCACCCTTGCATGCACTGCATGCAACAGCATATGCTCAAAGAAACTGTGTATATAATTTAAAAACAAGATTAAGTGACAGAAACAAATATTAACACAATTAGCCTCATCTACAAATTAAAAACTATGAAGACTAAAAGATATTATCCTGGGTCTGAGTGTCTGACAGTAAATATTTAAGATTATAGAATGTCTTGTTAAAAAAAAACATAATAAATAAATAACTTAAAGAATAATGTCAACATTATCATTTAAGTCTGCTTCTGCTCTCTGTCTCCAGTGACTGATCTGGATTGTTTAGCTCATATTGCTTCTAACTCATGTAAACATTCTCATGTGTTTTATACGAACAAACATCTGGTTTCTAAGGCATCAAATTCATGTTTGTGCATATTTTTAAAATGAAAAGGAACCCATGGGTCAAAAGGCTAGAACACTATTTGGTGCTTTATGGTATTTCAAAATAAACCAAAGCAAAACAAACAAAAAAACACAGCATTTATCTTAATATTTACAGTTTAGCAGAAAGCAAACACATAGCTTTTTCTGTCATACTTACTGCTGGTCTTGCTGTTGAGGTCTGACGTCTCAGTCTCTAAAAAGTATAAAATAATATGTGAGGCCTACAGTTATTTTCTTGATAGCTCGTATCCAGAGTGTATAATGAACTTTTACATTACATTCAGTAAAAGTATGTCACATAAAATTAAAGAATTAATTCCAGATAGGTGTTATAAATATATGCATCACAAAACAAACCTCATTCCTTAGTGCCATTCACCTTTAAATATGCATACAAACTGTATTATTCATATAAACTTAATTAACTAATACATTACCAACCACAAATTACCTTTAAAGTAAAAAATAGTTTGAAATTTCTCCCAGTATTCTCAGATGCCAGTGGTTTGGTCTTGAACTTACATTGAAATAGACTGAATCAAAGTTATTCATGAAATGGGTGGAAATGGAACTAAATGTCAGTACTGTACACACAAGTCCACTGGATGATTTACACATAATTCACTGCTGTGCCAATATATTACCACATCTCCAGGAGATTGCTATAAACACAAACGAAAAGCTAAATATGGAAAGATGTGTCTTTGCTACTATAACTTTCCAGTACAGTCTTTAAACGAACCTGCTGTGACACAGGTTTATTAAAACAAATTTTGAGATAAAACAGTTGCAAAATAATTATGACTTGAAAGTCTGTTAATGGGCATAATAAGTGAATACAGTAATCTTAAAAGGACAAAACCTGAATGTTATCCTTCCTTTTCTTTACGTTTTCCTTATTTGACTCAAAGCCCAGAAGGAATGCAGTAAGAAATTCGCACAGAATAACAATTTGAATGTCTCACATACTTTGGAACCTAGTGGGAATCTTTATTACAACTTTTTAAGATTCCAGTGTAACACACAATAAAAACTACATCTTTAAAACACACAATGTTGCAAACAATAAGACTAGTACAATTACCAAAAGGATTGTAAACAGATGTCATTTACCTCCCTTCAGTTTCCTAAAGCATCCAAATACAATATAAAAAGGTTCTATAAGTAGATAAACTATATATAATTCTAATAAATGAAACAACATTCCACTGGTACAGAAATTCTTAAATGTATGATTCTTCAGACTGTGCGTTTTCGCGCGTATGTGACGAGGCGATGTTTTTAGTGTTTGTGTCGCGCCAAATATTATGTCACTCAAGACAAACTTCATATTTTACTTATCAGAGGAAAATGTCACAGAACAATAGGGCAAATAATGTTTAAGTGTAAAGTTATGAACAATAACGCTATTACCAATTACACATACCTGGAGAGGAACTGATTGCGCGTCGAAATGCGCACATCCAAAAGGAACAACAGTAAGTAGGATGAAAAAGACAGCGTGGATAATCAAATCCAGTTTAACATCCATGCTTTCAGATTGCGTGGGAAAGCCAAAACCACTGTTTTGCCCGTAAGGCGAGTGCGTAAGTTCTTCCACTAACTTCACATTTTACGGCACAAAGTTGTTTGTAAAAGGGGCAGTATTGCCCCCTCCCTTCCAAACTGATCCTAAAAATGATACTGAAGCCACGATAATGCCATAAGAGAGATGGATGCTCATTTAGACTGGAAAAATAACTTGGTTATAATGACAAATGAGTTTCAATCATGCGCAGGTATTTGTGGGTTTCGAGGGGAGCTCTTTTCACGTGTGCATACTGGAAATTTCGCAGAGCCTCGCCACGGTTTTGGGGGCACGAAAACAAAAACACAAACCATTAACCCCGTGAATGCCTATAATTCAGAAGATTGCTGCCAGAAGCCTTTCAGTCGTTACAAATTGTTCTAAAACCGCATTACTGTCACCAAATTTGAAGTATTTGGATACTGAATGTTTACTCTAGAAATCTCAGTTAGGTTGGAGGTTTTTGGACAGGCGCTCCTGAACATACTAACAAATAATGAAGTGTGAGGAGTATAGTGGCTTGAGAATGGTCTTGTGAGATATTGTGACGACTAATATAGATTGATTTGTTTGGTTGCTGTCCATGGTGCTGTTAACTAACTGAATCGTCTTCTGATTACTGTACTTTATGAATGCATAAAAGGGTATTATTGCCCAGATCTTTGAACACAATATTAAAATTAATAAAATAAAGTCTATTCACTTTAACACAATGTGGATTTTACCTGTTCTAACTAAACATTTTAAACTAGTAAAAGGTAAAAATTATCTTTAGTTGCAACATCCATTTTAACTAAAAACATTAGGCCAATGCAACCATCTAATCAACAAAGTACACACATATTTGATTTTCATAGTTTAGTCTGAAAAACTAAAGTACTATTCAAAAGTCTGAGAGCCCTATTGAAAATGCAAAAAAATTATGTTCTGCGTTTTCTAATTTAATACATCAATATAATTTGTAAGGAAAATTCATATTAACCACAAAATTTGAATGAAGAGTTGAATTGGAAATAAAAATAAAAAATCATTACATTACATTTTTTGAGAAGAAAAAAAAAACAGATGTGGTCTCAGACTTTTGGATCCCACTTTTGTGTTTGCAGACCTTGATAATCTTAATGGAAACATATGCTCATGTCCTTTTAAATTCCTTCCTCCCACCTTGTTATCCATTTACACAATCTATGTGTAGATTAACTGTGCAAAAATGGCAAATGTAAGATTTTTTTATGATTATAGATGTTCAGGTACAGTCTGTAGTGCTTCTTCTGGCTTTCTTGCGACATTCACATTCTGGAATGCAAATAAGAAATCGCTTTTAGACACTGATCAGCGATTAAAATTCTTCATCTTTCCAGAGGGTTTCATGACTTACTGTGGGTCTGTCCCTGTGTGTGTTCACTGCTTGGATGTTTAAATAGTAGGACTCCACTTTGCATCCTGCAAGGAGGGCATAAAAGAACATGCTATACTCATATTATGTGTAGCACTTTTCATTAATAATGTAATGAGGGAGAATCATGTAGTAGCAGGTTTGCGTCCAATCAGCTAAATATCATTTCAACAGATTATGTCGGAATTCTAATGTTATTTTGTGTTTTTTCATTAATATATAGTTAAGAAGGTGGTACTGGCCAAAAACTACTTTTCATGCTGGGTTAATTTTATCATTGTTATTTATCATTTATAATTGTTTCTCTAACATATCTACAAAATAGTTCTCTCAGACTGAAGACAAAAAAAGATAACAGGACCCCAAATTAGACCCTAATCATGAACAGATCCATGTTTGAAATAAACATGGCTATGCCTACTCACCGTAAGCTAATGGAGTTAGTTTGAGAACAGTATGCAAAGAACACTTTAGATACGGTAGATCATCTGTGGAGAAATCAGAGATGTATAATTTGCATGAAAGATGCTATGACAGTGACAATGTTTTTTTTCATAGTCAGTGACAGCAATTGTTGGCTGTTTTTGGTTTAGACCTGCACTTTTGTCCAGAAAGTAGGCCAGTAGACAACGCATGGCTGCCTGGTGGCAGATGACCAGCACATTCTCTTGTCTCTCAAGCTCCATTATGACTGGCTCTAGACGGTGCACCAGGTCTTCATACGACTGCAGAACACAGAAAAGGAAAAAAACTACTGTAAATAGTAATATTGTGAAATACTGCAGTTTGAAGTAACCATTTTCAATTTTAATATATTTAAAAATGTCTTTTATTTGTGTGATGGCAATGCTGAACTTTCAGCAACTGTTACTCCGGTCTTAAGCGGTCACATGATCCTAATATGTTGATTTAGTACTATCAATTACTGTTGGTGCTTAATTATAATAATGGTTCTTATTATTATCAATGTTGAAAAGTTTTTGCTGCTTAATATTTTTGTATATAATGTGATGCATTTTTTTAGGATTCTTTGATGAATAAAAAGCATTTATATGAAACCGAAATCTTCTGTAACATTGTAAATCTCTTTACTGTCACTTTTGATCAATTTAGTGCATCCTTGCTGAATTAACATTAATTTCTTCATTTTATTTAAATCTTTCTTACCACAAACTTTAGAGTGGTCGTGTATCTCGGTTTTCACAAATATATTAAGTAGTAAAAAATGCTAATAATAAAATAAAATTAGCATATTAGAATGATTTCTGAAGGTTCATGTGACACTGAAGACTGGAGTAATGACTGCTGAAAATTCAGCTTTACCATCACAGGAATAAATCAAAATTTAAATACATTAAAATAGAAAATGGTTATTTTAGATTCATAACAATAATGCTAATACTATTTCAAAACCTTCCTGTATTTTTGATCAAATAAATGCAGCCTTTGTGAGTATAAGAGACCTTTCAAAAACAAAAAAATTCTTAACCATCCCAAATTTTTGACCAGTAGCGCACATTTTCGCACAAGCTCATTTTAACACAGTTGTGTTGTGTAAAGAACTCACTTCACCCTTTGGATATCGATAGCGGTACTTGTCCTGGTCTCTTAAGGCAAACTCTTCTGGATGGGTTGCCTGAATCTCCTCGTATGTCATCTCCTCACATACACCCTTAAAATGTACCAGAGTTCAACTTGACAATTTTTCTTGACATTTGCATTTCACGTGCGTACACCTTTAATATATAGAGCATGACAAGCTTACCGCATCAATTTCGTTCAACGCCTTCCACTGTTCATATGGGACGCCCAGTGCCTCTGCTGTCTGTATGGTCCTCTTCATGTGGCTGGTCCACACCTTCAGGTCCTTGATGGACTGACCCCTGATGAACTCTGCAAGGGCCTTAGCATACTATACAACAAAACAGACACAAGTCTAGTCTATATCTATGTGTTTAAGGAAGATTGAAATCACAGAAATGCATGTCTTATGTTAGAATTAAGGCTATATCCACATTAATCCGGATACATCTGAAAGGGTCTCGTTTTTTTTTACATTTTGGCCTTTCATCTACACCGAGACAGCGTTTTTTTCCAGCAAAAATAGAGCATAGTGATGAATGTGAAAATGCTATTTTTGTTTTGTAGTGTGGACTGTGAAAACAGGTATTCAAAAAAAGTGAGACATTTACAATGTTCACCTTCAACAAGGATACACTTTGACCCATTCACATGTAAACTGATCTACTTTGACCAAGATTTTATGTTTAGTTTATGATCTAAATCACCTTTTGGCCCTGTGAAGAGAGGCCTGTGTCTCCACCGATTCTTCCAAGCAGGTTGAGCTCACTTTCTCCGTGGCGGCTCAGATAGATGGATCGCGGTGTGACGTGGATGTTCATGAGGTAATACACTATACGACTCTGAATGTGATCCTGGACGCGGTTGACGAGGTACCTGGATCCCACGTTAAAGATCTTAATGAAGGAGAGGTGTCTATGAAACAAATGGAGAGGCAGAGCAGAGGAAGTAAAGGTGTTAAGTTCATAATAGTTGGAAATGATGCACATAACATCTTAATACATTTGAAACATCGGCAGCAGTGTACCTGTCCTTTTCCTCGTCCAGGGGGACATAGGACATTTTATAACAATCAATACGCTTCAGAAAGTCCACCAGTGCTTCCTCTTTGTCATAGTTTTCATAATCTGGGCTGCTCAGTTTTACTTGCTGTCAAAAAAGGAAATAATAATAAAAGCTCATCCTAAAACATTATTAACAGTCTAACATTATTAATAGTTTAATAACATACAATGTTACCATTATATTTGCCTCAATGATTTCTGGGTCGTCACAAACCGACTCAATGAAAAACACCTGCACATAAAAAAAAATGTGTGAAAGGTTGGTTGCTAAACCATCATTTACAAAATATCACATCATTTTATAAAATATTAAATGACACTGTTTTCAAAATGATGTAGTCTTTCTATTAACAAACTACTTTCCAAAGCATCACAAAACGCTATATTGCTGTTATTGTTACCCTGCAGCCAAGCATGCTGACACAATCAACTCGATATCTCATTCAAACTCTGATCTGAATCGGTTTGCTCAGTTCAAAAATGAATTATATTCAGATTATATTTATTGCTGCTGGGAGTCTAGTTCTTTTTAACAAATCAATTGGCTGTGAATAAGCCACTTTAAAAAAAAAAAAAAAAAAAAAAAAAAAGTCAATGTATACAATGGAAATGAATAGGTGGTGAAAACGAATCATACTTTACGCGACACTGGATTTATGGGGTAATCCAAATATATCTCACTCCAAAATGAATATTGAATATAAAACATTAAGATTAAGATTAGAGGTCAGGCAGTCGCTTTTTTTTTTTTTAAATTACTACATTTTAACAATTCATTAAGCATACCGTCACATTTTTATATAGCTGGATCCCCCTGGAGGAATGGCTCTGGTTTGCATATTTTACATCAATTAATACATTCATTTATATCATATTTTTAATATCTGCACCCTGTAGTTTATATAATAAAATATATTTTTGCTAGACCTTCTCCAGTCTGGATCTAATTCACTGTGCAACTAGCAATCTTCTTTTTTGTTTTGATCTTTTTTTGGCTCTACGCACCTGAGGCAATTTGATTTTTAAACTTGGAGCACAACAATCTCTTCTAGTACTTATATTTTTAATGAAATAATTTGGAAAACTAGTCTTTAAGTAACATCCCATCAATCATCACATTAAATACAATGCAAAGAAGAAGTGAGGCAGACTTTCATAATGCAGTCTGTTGAATAAGCAAAACCCTGCACTTGCCTTATAGTCCTTCTCCTTAGCAAAACTGATGATGACTCCTCTTCTCTCTCTTGTAGTATTGGTGGCATCAAATACCTGTGAAGTGCATTAGTCAGAGATTGATTTGCCTCAATGATTGGTTGACTCCGCAACAAGAATGCTGAGAATCACAGACTAAGCTGGTAAATTCTCAATCGTATTGGGTGTAAAGTCAGACAGATTCATATAGTAGCTTGAAAAGTTGAATTCATAGCTTGGACAGACAAGAAGAACATTACATTCTTGACTCACTGCAACTTGTCCCTGCTCCTTAGTGAAGTAATTGGCGATGTCCTTAAGAGCATTTGAGGCACAGGCTCTGAACACATAATACACCGATATTATTGAACAAATGACACATAATATATAGATATGCACACAAGACAGAGTTCATAATCAAATAACACTGCTTATTTAGAAGTTATATACTATCATCCTAAATGTATTGTACCTGCGGATTTTCATGGCTTCTTCATTGTCTGGACGAAAAAATTCATAGTTCTTGTATGTCTGCACAACTTCCCTTCGATACTGACCCAAATTAAAGACTTTCAAAAAATAACAGTTAGTTAGCAGATTTTTTTACATATATTTACTCACTACATTTATAGATATATTTTTTATTTAAAATTAAATTATGCTGATACATATTATATATAGCAAATAATTTCATACGTTCATTTTATGAATACACATATTGTATATGTGTGCGTGTATACATATATATATATATATATATATATACACTCACCGGCCACTTTATTAGATACACCTGTTCAATTGCTTGGTAACACAAATTGCTAATCAGCCAATCACATGGCAGCAACTCAATGCATTTAGGCATCTAGATGTGGTGAAGACGACTTGCTGGTGTTTGTATAACATGTGAATTATGTTGATATATCAGCAAATAATTTTATATGTAGTACATACACGTACATATATACCACAAACATAAAATCAAATACTTGCCATTAAGAGCTGGTCATTAACTTCATAATACACTCACCTTGAGTTGGGACTCCAATCCAATTTAGGTATCGGGTTAACTTTTTGGAGATGTAGGTCTTTCCCCTGGCTGGCAGACCAACCATCACAATCATTGTGGGACAGTTTGTAAACTGGGGTCGTGAGGCTGTGGACCAGTAGAAAACATTGACATAAAAATTTGAATAAGGTTTAATCACTTGGAGATGTTGGAGTAGGAGATTACATACGCATTCACAAGATAATGCCAATGCAACACTTGAACTTGCCCCTGCTTTCGCGCAGCCGCTGATGCAGAGAGAGCAGCGCTCATCATGTAGCCTAAGCTTTATGTTTGAAACAGTCTACACAAACAGTCTACTTACACAGTAGGCTACATCTCTGTGTTGCTACGTGCAAACATTAAATAATAACGAAAGTATTTGGAGAAAAGTTTTTAATCCGGATATAGACTCGATGTTGCGGCAGCCGCGATTAAAACGAGCAATTAACCTTTGGAACTAATAATACGCTTCAAATATAGATTGTATATGTTACATTATGCCAGTAGGTGGCAAACAGGGACTGTTAAATGTATTTGATGTCTGAATCATTCAAGAGATTCGTTCAAAAACTCTGGATGAAACAGGTCTTCCTTTTTTTTTTCAAATGATTTTTTAGCTACGTAATGAATTCGTTTAAATTAATAAATATTTTTAAATAGACTCATCTGTAACATTTTAGACATTTCTAAATAGACTCATTTATAACATTAAAACATTTTGTCAGAAACTCAAATTAAATATTTTGTTTGGTTGTCTAATGTTTGTTTTCAGAATCTTGGGAGAATCATAGCATAAAAATACATAGGCTAACGTATCTGACACCTAACTAATACCATTAGTACTGTTTATAGCCTATTATGTTACATGTTACTATGTATGTTTATGAACTATGTATGTCATATGTAGGCTAGTTCTGTTGAACCAAATCATTTAAATGGTTGATTCATTCAGGAACGAAACACCCTCATGTTGCTCAGAGATGCAAATTGGAATTCTATTTGTTGCCGAAATAGAGCAAAAATTGTGTCACTTGTGTCTAACCTAAATGTATTAAATTCTTGTTTATTGAACTGCTGTATAAAGTCTTCGCATGATACTGATTAACTATATGAAATGATATAAATATATGCATTTCTGCCCCCATATCTTGAATTTTGTGATCATTCTAAATGCATTTTAATAAACTGAATCCTGCAGTGAAAGAACCAGCACTGGTCTAACCTACTAGACTTCCTATTGCCTTAGCTAAACTTTAGCTAACTTACATGGTAGCTCTCTCATGAGTCATGAATGTTAGCAAGAGAAATGAACTATATTTGCCTTTTGCCTTTAGGATAATTAGCTGTAAATTCGAGGCACAGGTAGCTTAGTCTTTTGTTCATCACATATAAATATATGCATTTCTGCCCCCATATCTTGAATTTTGTGATCATTCTAAATGCATTTTAATAAACTGAATCCTGCAGTGAAAGAACCAGCACTGGTCTAACCTACTAGACTTCCTATTGCCTTAGCTAAACTTTGCTCATGACCACTCACCTCCACACCAAGACAAACACAACTGGAAAGGGAGGGAGGGCTTTACTTCTGCGGCTCTCTGCCTGTTTGTGATGCGCATGCCAATCGTGCTACACTGCTGTGCTGCGCGGAGACGCGGAGGGAGAAAGGCATCGGAACTCGACAGAGTCTCATATCCCGACCCGACATGATATTTTGATTTTTAATTTGTTTGACAGGGAAGCTGTGCGTAAACAGAAACACACACGCACACGTATATACATATATTCATTTATTTAAAAAAAAAAAATACTCCCCAGAAAAAAGGGCACTTTCTCTCGAGGAAGAAAAAGGGCAGGTGCTCAAGCCCCCTTTGATGTCTATAGCTGTGTCCCAAAGTGAAGTGCGCGGACTCCGAAGTGTACGAATGACCCTCCAAAGTGCATCATGAGACGCCCTGCCTTCGCAGGATTTCCTAATTCCGCCACCAGGTGTTCCCGATTACTCTGTTGCATAGCAACGGTGCTAGAGGAGAGCTGCCATCCTGACAGGACAGGTGGAGCCAGCATAGCTCATTTTTGTTTGGAGGAGATCAGGGTCATGCACAGGGGGGTGGCCCGGTGGCTAGAGCCTCTGCCCCTCTGCCCTCATCGGCTGAGGTGCCCCTCTCACCAATCCCCCCGTCACCCCAGCTCAAAGTGTTCTGTCACCGCTCCGCTAAAAATCCGCTGATTCCACGAATCCGCTCCGTGTATCCCGCCCGCTCCGCAGCATCACTCACAATCTGTGTGACTGTGCCGCTCTCTGGAGAGTGGAAACAGTTCCCGAAGCTCGTTGCATTTACAGGCAGATGCATTACAATCCACATTGTAGTCAGTGGTTGGTTGATCCGCTGAATTAGTAATTTGGTAGTTTGTTTTTGTATTTCTGTCGGTAATGATTTGCTCTTGGTCTTCTAAAAGTGCTTACAACTTGTACAAAACATCCACGTTCTTAGACTTATAATGTCTAATTAAATTATTGTACCCGATCACATCTAATCCAAAATAGCAATAACAAACAAGCAATGCCTCAAAAAAGAAGACAGAGACAGAGAGAGAGAAAGAGCGAAGGGAGGCTGCTAAAGGCAGGTCAACATTACAAACATGGATTCAAAGCTCCAGCAAGCCAGCAGGTCAATCATCATACGTGACCATGGACCACAAAACCAGTCACAAGGGTCAATTTGTTTGAAATTCCATTGATGTGTGGTTTGTTTGGATAGGACAATATTTAGCAGCAGCTTTGACAGCTGAACAGTGCTCTGTATGACCGGTCCGAGTCCTTCAGATGCAGCCTTTGATATAGTTAGCAACAATTTGTTAATATTCTGACAATAAATGTTGTTACTTTAATTTTCAAAATAGTCAGTAGTGGACTGTAAGGAAGTACATTCGTTAAGTATTCTTGTACAAATCTGAAGTACTGAGTTTTCTTTTTTTTCTCACAGGACAGCAAAAATATGGTCTTTTACAACATGATGCATTGTTGTAAACTACCCAACAGTATACGAAGTAGGCAACTTTAAATTTAACAACCTTGAACATAGTCTTAAGTAAAA